CTCCTGGGTTCAGGCAATTCTCCTGCCTCAGCCTCCTGAGTAGCTGGGATTACAGGCACGCGCCACCATGCCCAGCTAATTTCTTGTAGTTTTAGTGGAGACGGGGTTTCACCACGTTGACCAGGATGGTCTCGATCTCTTGACCTCGTGATCCACCCGCCTCGGCCTCCCAAAGTGCTGGGATTACAGGCGTGAGCCACCGCGCCCGGCCTTTTCTCTCAAAGCCCTTTCTCGAGCAGGGCGCAGTGGCTCACGCCTGTAATCCCAGCACTGTGGGAGGCCGAGACGGGCAGATCACTTGAGGTCAGGAGTTTGAGACCAGCCTGGCCAACATAGTGAAACCCTGACTCTACTAAAAATACAAAAATTAGCCAGGCGTGGTGGCATGTGCCTGTAATGCCAGCTACTCAGGATTCGGAGGCAGGAGAACCACCTGAACCCAGGAGGCGGAGGCTGCAGCGAGACAGCACCACGCCACTATACTCCAGCCTGGCGACACAGTGGGACTCCGTCTCAGTGGCAAGTACCTGTAATCCCAGCTCTTTGGGAGGCTGAGGAGAATCACCTCAACCCGGGAGGCAGAGGTTGCAGCAAGCTGAGATCGGGACACTGCACTCCAGTCTGGGTGTCAGAGTGGGTCTCTATCTCAAAAATAAAAATTTTAAAAAGCCCCTTCTCAAGTTCTCAGATTCCTGTGGCTCTGAGACCCTTTGGGCAGAGCGACCCTGGGTCTCTGCAACCTGAATCCCCAAGGAGTCCTGAACGTCCCAAGGTCTGAGAGCACCAAGGTCCGAAAGGCTCTGAGGGCGGCACACCCTGTATCACGCCCAGCGTCCTTGTCCGGCAGCACGCAGTATCCAGGGCCGTTCTGGGACACTTTGTTTCTCTTGCTTTGTTCACTTCTCCTATCCCCTCCTCCCCATCCGCTCCCCAATCTGCTGGCCTTGTTTCTGCCACAAAAGCTTGGGAAAGGGTCAAGGGGGTGCTGGGTGTGGAGGGAGGAGCCGGAGGAGACAACGGCTGGGGGAATTTGCTGGAGGGCAAGGGAACCAGGGAGGCACGGGGACAGAGGAGTCCGTGGGCTGAGCAGGGGTCCTCGAGGTCACCGAGGGGCAGGGGCTTACCTTCAGGTCCCTGTGTACAATGTTTTTCTGGTGACAATAGTGCACAGCCGAAACAATCTGGGAGGGAGGGGAAGGTCAGTTATTTGCGGCTCATAAACCCTCAGCCTCCCTGAGCCATCTGTCAAGCCACTCACAGCTGGACCCCTGGGCCTCAGGCCTCCCCAAGGCACAGGCCGAGACCTGGGGCCTCGCACCCTGACTCAGTCACAGGAAGAGGTGCCTGTGGAACCTCCACCAGGACACCCCCATGCCCAGGGATGTTGGAACCGAGGCATGGGGACCAACCCTCTCTTAACCTTCACACCTGGAAACTCCCATGAAGACATCCCAACACATGCCATCCCAACTCAGCAGGGCTTACGGGCCTTGGATTCAAGACAGCTGCATCGACGGAGCTACACTCCCA